ACACTCCTCAGCCTACCCGGTAAGGTCTACTCCAGGGTGCTGGAGAAGAGGGTCCGGTCGATAGTTGAACCTCAGATTGAGGAGGAGCAATGTGGTTTTCGTCCCGGACGCGGAACCGTGGACCAGCTCTTTACCCTCGCCAGGGTGCTGGAGGGGGCATGGGAGTTTGCCCAACCAGTCCACATGTGTTTTGTGGATTTGGAGAAGGCTTACGACCGTGTCCCCAGGGGCATCCTGTGGGGGGTGCTCCGGGAGTATGGGGTTGGTGGCCCCTTGCTAAGGGCCATCCAGTCCCTGTACCGAAGGAGCATGAGTCTGGTTCGCGTGGCTGGCAGTAAGTCGGACCTGTTCCCGGTGAGGGTTGGACTCCGCCAGGGCTGCCCTTTGTCACCGGTTCTGTTCATAACTTTTATGGACAGAATTTCTAGGCGCAGCCGAGTGGTGGAGGGTGTCAGGTTCGGTGACGGGAGGATCTCGTCCCTGCTTTTTGCGGATGACGTGGTCCTCCTAGCTCCATCGAACAGTGACCTCCAGCTCTCGCTGGGGCGGTTCGCAGCCGAGTGTGAAGCGGCTGGGATGAGAATCAGCACCTCCAAGTCTGAGGCCATGGTCCTCAGCCGGAAAAGGGTGGATTGCCCACTCCAGGTCAGGGGGGAGGTCCTTCCTCAGGTGGAGGAGTTTAAGTATCTCGGGATCTTGTTCACGAGTGAGGGTAGGATGGAGCGGGAGATTGACAGGCGGATTGGGGCGGCGTCAGCAGTGATGCAGGCGCTTAACCGGTCCGTTGTGGTGAAGAGGGAGCTTAGCCAGAAAGCGAAGCTCTCAATTTACCGGTCGATCTACGTTCCAACCCTCACCTATGGTCACGAGCTCTGGGTAGTGACCGAAAGAATGAGATCGCGAGTACAAGCGGCCGAAATGAGTTTCCTCCGCAGGGTGGCTGGGCTCAGCCTTAGGGATAGGGTGAGGAGCTCAGACATCCGGGAGGGACTCGGAGTAGAGCCGCTGCTCCTCCACATCGAGAGGAGCCAGTTGAGGTGGTTCGGGCATCTGGTAAGGATGTCTTCCGGACGCCTCCCTTGGGAGGTGTTTCGGGCATGTCCAACCGGGAGGAGACCTCGGGGCCGCCCCAGAACACGCTGGAGGGACTACATCACCCGGCTGGCCTGGGAACGCCTCGGGGTTCCCGCGGAAGAGCTGACAGAAGTGGCAGGGGAGAGGACTGTCTGGGCGTCTTTGCTGAGGCTGCTGTGACCCGGACCCGGATAAGCGGAGGACGACGACGACGACGACGAATAGTATTAGTAAAAAATAGTAAAAGATAAACATTTTGATTTTATTTCCTTCCCCCATTTGTGGTGCCCCCTATGGATGACGACGCCCTTAGCACTGCCTACGCCACAGGCCGGCGCTGCTATGAGCGACTCTTTTTGGTGTCTGGTATGTACCAGGTCAGCCTGTCTAACATCCGAGTGCTCATGAATCCGTAATTTGTCCTAACATATTGCAGCAACAGTACTTAATAAACTAATGAGGACAGGCCAGGTATGTAAAGTATTGTGTGTGTTGTATTTTATTGCTCAGAGCACTGACTGGAATAGCTTTAGGATGTGCATACTATAACGGAGTGTCCTGGAGAAACTGACACCATACTTTGCAAAAAGTATCAAAACTTGAAAGGTTCAATAGATATACATGTATCGACTCAAAGGAACTAATGCTGTAAAAAAGAATCGATCCGCCCATCACTACTGCTGCAGCCATAGCTGAACAGAGCAGGCAGAATATTCTGAAAACATCCACATCAGGATCACCACACCCAACCCAGTGTTATGACCTTTACTACTAGATTACCACCTTGAAACAAGAGGCTTTGCAGCCAGTCAGGCTCATAGTAATGCCAAAAACATCAACATTATCTCAGTACTCTATACATTATCTCCCAGCCAAGGAGAGCAATGCAGCAGGTCTCATTTGATTAATAAACAATATTCTATTCTGTTAAATCAGCAACAAAAATGACATCCTCACTGTCAATGATTTGAATATGGATAAAGTCAGCAGTATTGCTGTCTTATGCCAGTAAGATAAGCAGAACAGTTGACACCAAAAAATTCCACACTAAACAAGTTCCTCTGTTCTCTGTCACTCTTGCAAACACAGAAATATCAAAGATACCTGGTTCAGCTACAAGATAACAGATTATAAAATCCAAACAACAAAGTACTGTACAAGTCAGTGTCCATCCTTGTGTCCTTACGGGCAGACCTTTCAACTTTATACAGTAACTGTGAATCTGACACCCTTGCCAGTACTTTGAACATTCAAAATGGTTGAAGTGTTTCCATATGTATATACACATAGATTCAATGTATATCTGTTGATTAACTTTGTTGTAACTGAACCACAAAAAACTAAAAAAAACTTTAAATCCAAAAAATAAAAACCCTTGTCTATCCTGCAGACTCATGTTGCTTTTTAAACTTTGCACTGATATGCATAATGACGCCGCCAGTTTAACTGAAGGGTTGGACGCCTGAGTGAGAGCCAAAGCCAGCCGTTACTGAGAAGTCAGGGCTTGTCTTAATCTACCTGCTGACACTTGTCACCGCGGCTCCCTCTGGCACTTTCTCACGACTGCTGGAGTTGAGTCTTTTACCTGTTGCTGCAAAGTTTGTACTGTGCCCTTTTGCAAAGTTGCATCGATTAGGGAAACTTGAGCTCTTCATTTGGCACCATTCGTTACATTAATAACATCATTATAATCATCAAAATTACAGTTTTCACACAACCAGTCACATTAACATGATTGTGTTTATCAGCCTGATTTGAAAAGATTTGATTTGGCACATACAAAATTATTCAGCTAATTCAGTGCTTTGTAAGGACACTGACATTGCTGCATATGACAACCTTATTTACAATATGTGAATTTTTCTAAAACACTGTGTGATTGTGGCCTCCCTGCACATCAGGACTAATCTCACCCTGAAACCATCTCTCCTCAGATTCTTAATTGTGGAAATTCCTCCCTGTCTCCTTGTGTGTGGAACCCAATCTCCATAGCCAGGCCCAAGTAGCTTTAATGATCCTACCTTGGATAAAAAAGAGGCATTATAGTCCTAACGGCAGTTTTGGCCCTTAAACACTGGCTCTATTCATTTCTGAAACAATCTGATTCCCTCTCTACCTCTCTTTGCCCCCTCTCACTATTCCCTCTTTTTGCAACAGCGCGTCAACAGGAATCACTTGGCATAGTGTTTGCCATTTCCCCGACATCTTCCTCCTGACATCTTCTCACTGCTGTGGAAAACTGACAATAAATCAAGTGGGATCGACCCCGGACTGCAGAGTGCACATTATTCTTCCAAGACAATCTACAGAACGACGGCTGCAACACGACTTGTATCACTGCAAGGTCAGCTTTAATCTCTTTTTTTTTTCACCTATCTGTACATATTTTCTTTTCATGTATATAAAGTGCCTCTTAGTAACTAGGGTTCATAAAAAACAATTATTTCTTGGTTTCTCTTTTTCATGGCATTGTCACAAAAAAGAAATGTTTTTGTTTTCATCTCATAAAAATATTTTCATGGGCGTGTCCTTAAGCTGTGCCAACAAACTGTGCGAGCAGGCCTGTTTAAATCAGTGTAATCAGTGCAGGAAGTAAGATGTACTTGATTGTTACATTTGTACAATCAGAAGGCTACTGGGACTGATTAATAATCCAACCAGTTCCATGCTATAGTTTATAGATTATCAAAGTTATTTATTTATTAAAGACAAGATCAAGAATGAAACAATATGCTGTGTTTCTGTTTTTGACATCAACAGCAATAAATAGATGCAGCAGAGGCCAAGAGGTTGAGCTCAAATAAATAAGTCATTTTTTATCTCAGTGAGGAGTATCAGCATCAGTATCAGTATCTCAGTGTATCTCAGTATTAAGGAATAGTTCTGATTTATTGAGGTGGGGCTGTATTAGATGCTTATCCATAGTTAGTGTATCACAAAACAGTCAGCACACTTTCAGTTTGGAGAAGCAGGCAGGAGTGCTGCCACAGAGGCTCAGCTATGCACTGCTGTGGATTCGGGTTAGCAGCAAAACATATTTTAGCCACTTTTAAAAGGCCTAATACAACAGCTTTGTTTAAAATGTGTACTTTGAATTTCTGAGTTCACCAAAATAGCTCTAAAAATGTTTCCTAGATGTAACACCATACAGGCCGGAAATTGCACAAGTGAAAATGCATGTATGTCAGAATATGCATGCAAGTGCATAAACATACTATTCTTTACCTAACTTCTATATGTTAGTCTTAGAATTAAACACTTTGTACACAGAATTTAAAGGGATAGTTTGAATTTTTTAAAATGAGGCTGTATGAGGTACTAATGCTGCATTCACATGGAATCAAGAAGCAAACCTGTTATCATGTTAGTGAATGAGAGCATGTAAAATCAGGACAGGTCGATGGAGAATGCTGGCAACAGTAACTGTAGATGGCATTGCCATTCAAAGTTAAAATGGTGTAACTTGCTGCCTTCCTGGATGACATAATTTACAACCAGATGTTACGTAGCTCCCTAGGGGGGTTAGCAGCAATGTGTATTTTAGCCACTTTAAAAAGCACCTACCTAAAAAACTCAATCTCAGTCTAAGTGGACGCTATACTGACAATATTTTCATCGCTTTACTTCTTTACTACTACTTAGCTTCTACATTTTTCCAGCTGTATAACTTCCATATTCTTACGCAAAAGTTCAGCTGTGCCACACACTGTTACACCACAGGTCGGGTAAGACTGGCAGGGGTTTATGGAAGAGACAACAAATACAAGGAAATAAAAAAACTGAGCAATTTTGACAGTGACTTTTGCAGAGGGACACTGAGCAGGCCAAAAACAGAGACAGGAAACTTCTGTGGAAACTGGAGACCCAGGATGTGCACATGCTAACTGTGAACTGTAAACACATGCTCACTGTCCCAGAGAGGTACCACCAACATGGCAGAACTTCAGGATCTTTGTGAATCAGAGGTCGCCAGCACTTCCCACTTTACTGGTTGTTTGGTAAGTCGTTTCATTTATTTGTAGGTATTTAGAGTAATTTTAGTGCTCTTCAGTAAGTGCCTCTCTTGCTTATTGGGCGGTGGTTTTACATAATCGTCTTATGAGAAATGTTCACTGCAGTTGGAGTGCTGATGTCTACATTCAGTGTAACTAGCCTCAGCTGTTTTCATGTCTTTGTTTTAACAGCCCAGAAAACCATAAGCAGGCACCATCTTTAGTAAAGTGAAGGTTTTTTTTCCAGTGTGATCGCCCAACAACACTCTCTGACCTTTGCCGTAATATAGTTCACAACACAATTGGGCTTTTGCAGAGGAATATGGACGGTCTATGACTGAGAAAATGTAGCGCCAAAGGAAAGGGCAGTCTGACTGTAAGGTAAAGTTATGAAAATATTCTCCATATAGTGTTCACCTAAACTGATACTGATTCTTTTGGAGGTAGGCCTTTTTTTAAGTGGCTAAAATACATTTTGCTGCTAACCCCCATCCACAGCAGTGCATTGCTGAGCTTCAGTGGAAGTATTCCCATCTGCTTCTCCAAACTGGGACTGTATTGATTGCTTTCTAAGTATACGTATAGTATAAGAACCTCATACAGCCCCACTTTAAAACCTTCAAAATTCTGTGTACCGGGGCGTTGGTGGCTTAGTGTTAGAGCAGGCGCCCCATGTACAAGGCTGTTGCTGCAGCGACCCAGGTTCGAGTCCAGCCTGTGGCCCTTTGCTGCATGTCACTCCCTCTCTCTCTCCACACTTCACTGTCCTGTCAATTAAAGGCAAAAAATATCTTTAAAAATTCTGTGTACTAAGTATTTAATTCTAAGACTAAGAAATAGTGAAGTAAGGAAGGGAATAGTATGTTTATGTACTTGCATACTTATTCTGACATATATACATTTCACTCATACAATATTTGGTCTGTAAAAGTTTGTGGGTTCCACCTTCATCTCAAACTGAACAGAAGATGAAAGATATGACTTAACTTAAATGATTATCTTGCACTGAGGCCTGACACTCTGATAAAATCTTTGCTGCATCTTCTGTTTAAACCATGCAAACATCATGAGCATCTGCAAAGTACAACTGTTAGATCTAGGAAACATTTGGGTGAACTTAAAAATACAAAATAACCGTCTTTATACAGAGCTGTTCTTCACAGTTTCCCCAACAGTGAACATTTTGTACACACATGGCTCTCACTTCACAAAGGCAACTTTTTATGTACTGTGTTACCACAGTACATAAAAAGTTGTGAAACGAAAAACAGGATCAAAAAAGTTTCCTAATGGCCAATACCATAATTTTGAGGGTGTGGCTGAAGGTATTTTGTTCTGCTTAACTGATCTCAATACCTGTGAGTCACAGCGTGGCTTTTCCACCTGCAACGGTTACCTGACTGAGACAAAAACTGACATGATGACACATGCCCACGGCTGGGAGTGGGGGTGGGGGTAGTCATCACGTCACAGCTCTGTGTGACAATGTGTGCCTGTCAAGCCCCTCCCGAGTTAAGTGTATAAAAGACCCACTTCAACCTCACTCAAACATTTACTCTTGGGGATCTCTCAAGTAAGACTCCACTGACTTCCAGAGACACACACTTTTGGACTTTTTTGTGCAAGAAGCTTTCTAAGGAAACATGGTGTCAGCCGGCTTTCAGATGTTGGGCACTGCCCTGTGCATTATTGGATGGATTGGGACCATCGTTGTCTGCGCCCTTCCCCAGTGGAAAGTGACAGCCTTCGTTGGACAGAACATTGTCACCGCTCAAACCACCTGGGAGGGCATATGGATGAGCTGTGTGGTCCAGAGCACAGGTCAGATGCAGTGCAAGGTTTATGACTCAATGCTGGCCCTTTCCCGGGACCTCCAGGCTGCACGTGCCCTCATCATCATCTCCATCCTGCTTGGAATCATCGGCATCCTCCTCGCAATTGCAGGAGGCAAATGTACCAACTGCGTGGAAGACGATGCCTCCAAAGCTAAAATTGGCGTGGCATCTGGTGTGATCTTCATCCTTTCTGGTATTTTGTGCCTCATCCCTGTGTGCTGGACGGCAAACACCATCATTAATAACTTCTACAACCCGCTGACAATAGGCTCTCAGAAAAGGGAGATTGGAGCTGCACTCTTCATCGGCTGGGGGGCTGCAGGCCTCCTCATCCTGGGTGGTGCACTCCTCTGTGCCAACTGCCCTCCCAAGGATAACTATTCTGCCAAGTACTCAGCTAACCGTTCAACTGCACCCAAGGACTACGTCTGAGGAGAGGGAAGCCAAATGACAAGGCCAAGGGACTGAAAAGAGACTTGAGTCAAATGCTTTGTGGTCCATGACACTGATTTGTGTTGACACAATGAGTATGATTTGAATTTCACAATGATTTTATTGTGCTCACACTTTATGCTGAAAATTTCATGTTGAGTTAAAGCACTTCAAGATTTGTTTCATCTGTGCCAAGATGAGGAGATGTGGGCCACACCCAGACAAGATGGACTGAGTGACACAATGCTTGATGGGAGTAAAAAAATATATACATATCGGAGCAACATTTTGAAAGTTAATCTGCTGATTCATTTTTCTTTGTTTTCATCCATTTGTGCCCTTTTTCATATCATTTCATTTAAAAATGTGTTTTATATGTGACTGTCTGAAACTGTAAATAAATATTTTTTATCAACATTGAATGATCATGTTTTGTGTGTTCTTTAATGTTTTATGATGTTTCATTAGAGCAGCTTCCTCTCAAAATGGAGGCTTCAGAAAGAAGGCATGAACTCTGCTACACACACAACCCACAGATTTGAGCTGATTGGTAACTAAAACCAAGAATAAATATTTTGCAAAAGTAAAACAAAATTCTGTATTATCAAGTATCCAAAATAAATATTTAATAGGTCTATAGTGTAAAATGATCCTAATTCATACCCTGAAAAATTAAGTTTTATGTTTCTGGAGTGTAAGTTGACAAAAGAAGTATAAAATAAAAGGTGGTCTTAACTGAGACATATGAAAACTACTTTATAATAAAACAACATAAACTCTAGATTATACTATTTGACTGATAGATTATACAAGTTGTTTAAAATGTAAAGGGTTTTTGTATTATCCCAATTAAGTATGACTTGTATGTTGATTTTTTTTTTTTAATACAGGAAACATTTCCCCCATTGTCTGAGTCATTACTTGTCCAACACTGCCCCTTGCTGTAAACAGCATAACCAGACTTACTGCAGGGCAGATGCTGATGTGGGAAAAGCGTGGGGAAGCTGGGACAATGTCTGTCAAGCTTATATATGAGAGATCTTAATATCTATACTATATGCACCTAACAGCTATCCACCTTTATCATTTATTCTTAACAGGCATCAGCAAATTAAACAGTGACACACTGTACACTCTAGTGGTCTATAAAATAAGTAACCATTTAAAATCAGCGATTCTTTACACAAATTTGAACAGCGTTGTTCAATAAACCAACCAACCTAACCTCCACACAACGGCCTTTATGTTCAGTTGTAACAATCAGGCTAAGTGTCCTCTACTCTCCTCGCTTTATTCTCCACTCCCTCTCCTATTTTTCTTCTACACCTCGTTCTTTTTAAAACAGTCCCGCATTAATACTTATAATTATCTTCTAATAAAGCTTCAATTGTCCTTAAAGAATCGCAGAGACAGACGCGTGCAGGGGCTGCGCGCTCCTCCTCTTCTCTGCGCTCTTTGCGCACGGCATGCTGGTGCAGCACCAAACCGCACGTGAGATTTGTTGAAATTAATTATAAGAGTCGTGGTGTGAGGGACGTAAGTATTATTTAAAGTTGAGTTTTGGTTTATAAGGACGCGTGGAAATGGGACAGAAATTCGGCGTCTGCCTCAGCTCGCATCGGACAGCTGGTGAAGCGGAATCTGGCAGAGAGCTGGAGGGAGACGGTGTGGTTTTATGCCAGACTAGTTTACTTGCTAATCTTAATAGTGGGTTATTGCCTAAATTAGGCTGACAGTATTGAGTTCTTCTTTTAATTGTGGTTTAACATAAAAACAGTGACAAACAACGCCGATGCTTAGGGCAAACAATATAGTTACCTGGTTGTCCATAAGGGCAGGTCAGGGAGATGTGGATGATGCTCCGCAGGGCGCCCGATTTGCGTGCGCTGACTGTGGTGACTGTGACAAGTTGAGGAGGGAGGGGGAGGGGCTCGACTCAAATGCAGTTGTCGGGCGCTTTGACCAAATGTAAAAAGATAAAATATAAAATTGTTAAAATAAACACAAAAAAATGTCATGCAAAAAAGGCACTTATCTAGTCAGAGGCCAAAAGGGTTGGTGCTTTAGCGGCACCTGGAATTTATCTGCACGTGCCTGATAACAGCACATCCTGTTTATTCTTGTTCAGAGGTGAAACTTGTATCATAACACAGTAGTTTGCCCAATTTTTCTCTTGAACAACTTGGATATATACCTGCACAGTGTTAATAAAGTTATGAAACATTTTTGAAGAAAAACAGGGTTAGCTACTGATGTGTCATATTACTGTTATTAAAGGTTTATAAATGTGTGAGTTTAGAAGAATAAATGTTGATGGAAAGGAAAAAAGTTTTCTTTTGTGTGTATTTGACCTTGAGACTTTGGATTCAGGCAGGTCAGCACTACTAAAGGTCACTGGGTCTCTGTTTGTGTGTAAACTCCTTCCAGCCAATAGGAGCTGAGGACTGTGGTATCACATACCCTCATGTCTGCGCCCCTTCTTCTCACACACAAACCTATAAATACAAGCTCACATCATTCCACTTGTCTTTCTTTTTGGATCTTAATGTGTGAGGAACAACGCCGCTGAAATGGTTTCTCAGGGGATTCAGCTCATTGGTATATCCATGGCTTTGATTGGCTGGTTCTTGGTCATCGTGGTGTGCGCCTTGCCCATGTGGAAGGTCACTGCCTTCATTGGAGCCAACATCATCACAGCTCAGACCATCTGGCAGGGCATGTGGATGAACTGTGTGGTTCAGAGTACAGGCCAGATGCAGTGCAAGGTATATGACTCCATGCTGGCTCTGCCCCAGGACCTGCAGGCCGCTCGCGCCATGATCATCATCTCCATTCTCACTGGAATCTTTGGGGTGGTCGTGTCAATCGCCGGGGGGAAATGCACAAACTGCATCGAGGACGAGCGATCCAAGTCGAAGGCTTGCATTCTTGCTGGAGTTTTGTTCATCGTCTCAGGGTTGCTCTGTCTTATTCCAGTGTCCTGGTCTGCCAACACCATCATCACCAACTTCTATAACCCACTTGTTGTCGCAGCCCAGAGGTATGAGTTAGGAGCAGCGCTATATATCGGCTGGACGGCTGCTGCACTGCTGCTCATGGGAGGGGGGCTACTGTGTTGGAACTGCCCACCCAAACATGAACACCCCCACTACGTACCCAGATTCACACCTGTGAAGTCGGCCTCCACGTCAAGACAATACGTATAAGATGGTTAGCGCTTGCCACATGGACTGTTGAGGTCACAAGAATCGCAACAGAGAGAAATAATAGTTTGCTTCGTATATTCACTGGCAATGTAAATATAGCATGAAATCACAGCTTGCCACAATCTTTTTAAGGTCGATTTTGCAATTAGAGAATGTGTCAAAGTGACCTTTCTGCCAGTGGATGTTTTGTCTTTGTGTAACTAAGAGCATAAATAATGACTGTGTGAGTAAAGATTATCTTGAAAAGGTCCTAAAAAGCATTAATTTTAAGTGTCTGATACAGATCCCATTTAATTGTGCCACTGGGGCACTGTAATTGTGCACGCTAGCTCAATGTCACAATGACATGGAGCAAAAACATCATCAATGTTATAGCTGTGCTTTTCTTGCCATGAGGTGTCAAAATGTTAGCTGTTTAGAAAACACCAAAAAGGAACTTAAGTACATGTCTCAAACTACAATGTAAAAATGTAAGCACCCTTTAAAATCTGAATCTATGTTATATTGTGGCTGGTTGATAAGAAACTAGGATTTGAATCATGATTATTATTAGTCTCTGTAAATATCTGGATTGTCGTGAGGCTCTCACAGTGTAATTATCTTTATTGTCGTTCAGATTCATCTCTGAAAATAAAGGCAGGAATGCAGCTGCCTTCATGTATAATTTCTGCTAAAGTAAGTTTTGCATTGATTACGTCTGTCTAAATAACAAATGGAGTGTCAACAATAAGTAAACACCGTGAGTTCAGGAAAATCTCTGCATTTCTATCTGCTCTCCTTTTTATTTTTACCCAGCCTGCAAATTCTACATTTATATTTCTGAACCTTGTGATATTCTGTTACTGTAAATAAACTCTATACTCACTGGATGATTACTGTTTACTTACTTCTGAGAAACTCAAATAGTGTTTAAGAGACTGGAGAAGAGGTAATAAAATCCACATCACAAGGTAAGCTGAGGACATGATTATGCACCAATGCAGTGGACATGAATTATCCATCATATGCAAGGAGGTTACAGCCGTGATGGGAAACTGGACAGATGAATTTGCATCTTCACTGGATCACACTGGAAATGTTTGTTTGAGAAGTATCACATTACTGAAAACAGTGTGTGAAAGATTAAGTGTCAACAGTTTATTTACCCAACAGAGGTTTCAGGGAACTTAGGAAGTAGCAGGGTTTTTTTTTAAATTCAAAGTGCTGATATGACTTGTTTCCTGTGTCTTATCATCACTCCATCAAGATACTTGTTATCAATGTTAGAACAGATCTCTCCCCCTCAGCTCAGGGCTGAGTATCTGTCTCGACTGGGTCACATCTTGGTTTGCACAGTCCATGTTAAAGTGAACTTTTTATTCATCCCTTTCATCACCTGCCAGACTGCCATGCAGCATACATTCAACATCAGGGATACAAGCAACTGTTGAGCCTTTTCAACAAGAAAGACCAGCTGATTCTGTTTCTTAAGTATTTTTGGTTTCAACATCATGACTTTAGCGTCTTTTTTCTAACTCAGTATTTTTTGGGGGTGGATATGTTTTGCTTGACAGAGAAGGTTTTGTCATAAAAACGTACCAAAAAATGTTCTAAATGAAAAGCAAAACTTACAAGCATTTGAATTTGTCTTCATAGAACTATTAAATGATGTCATTTCCTCTTCACGATGTCACTTAAAGGAACAGTACAAAACATGTATGTACAATAAGAAAAGTTTAACTAGAATTTTGTTTATACATGTATACACGTCGCTGCTGATTGGGTAACACCTCTGACACACATACCAAACGAAAAAGAGTGTACATCAAAGCCTGTGGTTTCACATCGCTTCAAGGAAATTTGTTCTGTAACCTGGAAAATGTGCGCACTGTAGCAAAACAGTGCACACTGTTTTCAGATTGAGCATGCCCCAGTATTTTAGTGCAGAGATACATTGGTATGAACATGAAACCTACAGACACAATTAAATCGTGCTATTTTAGTCAGTTTTCTATGTTAACAAAGAGTCGCTCACAATTTCCTCCCATCCTCTCCTCTACAATAGTCAGTGTGGAGGCAAACAGGTGTAAAAGTCTCTGTTGACTTTAAATAACATGAACTTCATAGTGAGAAGAGATAATTCCATTAGCTTTTTGTTTTGTTTGCTTATCAGTCGTGTGTGTGGGGGATTTGACGTTGTCTTAAGATGCCCAATTACTACTTCGATTTTAAATTAACACAGCAAAGAGCCTGTTTGTGAAAATGAGTGGACATAATTTAATCATTTGCTATAGGTCATGGTCTTGAGCTGGTTTCAGGACCTTTGAAGTGGCTGTAACTCTATCCAATAACCCCATCTTTACTGCAGGGAAATCTGCATATGAAAGCGTGATTTCTGAGAACAAAACCAAGGCATTGTTTAAAAATGGGTGCCGCTCCTCTGGCCCTGGGAAGAGGAATCTTGTTTGGCCAGAAGAACTCACCTGACGACGAGACAGCCTTCCTCCTGCACATTCTCTGACAAACAACAAGCGAGAGAGCTGTGTCACTCTGAAAGAGGACCAGACCTGAACGCTGAAACGCTCCTCTCTCCTGCCGCAGACAAAGCCTCTTCACCATGGGGAGGATTGGCAAGGAAGTGGCAGGTCAGGTCATAAGCTTCATAGGTCTTGTTGGGGTGGCGGTGACCTGCGGGATCCCCATGTGGAGAGTGACCTCCTACATCGGTGCCAATATCGTGACGGGCCAGATCGTGTGGGACGGCCTGTGGATGAACTGTGTGATGCAGAGCACCGGGCAGATGCAATGCAAGCTGAACGAGTCTGTTATGAGGCTGACCCCGGATCTGCAAGCCGCCCGAGCCCTGGTCATCATCGCCCTCGTCTTCGGCTTTATTGGCTTCATCATCACCTTCATCGGAGCCAAGTGCACCGGCTGCCTGAAAAAAGATTCATCAAAGGCCAAGGTGGTGATCATAGGGGGCTGCCTCCTCATTCTTGCCGCCATCCTGATCCTCATCCCTGTCTGCTGGTCTGCAGCCATCACCATCACAGACTTCACGAACCCCCTGACCATTGACACACAGAGAAGGGAAATCGGAGCCTCCATCTACATCGGCTGGGCCTCTGCTGCAATTCTTCTGATCGGTGGGATCATCCTCACCACATCCTGCCCTCCTCAAAAACCCATGTATGGATACCCAGGCTACCCACCAGCGCCTATGTACCCTTACGCAGGCCCAGTGCCAAACCCGGCAACATACGGCCCTGTGTATGCTCCCCCATCCAGCCGACCGTACACAGGCACCGGATCATACATACCTGCCAAACCGTATGCAGCACCGACCACATACTCTCCCAGGCAATACCTATAAAAACTGAAAGGACTGAAAGAGGATACAGACTGATATTTCTGCCTGAGACTTTCAGCTACAGGAACTTGTTATGTGATTAAATAGCAAAATTGCACCAAAATACAGATTGTATTTCGAGAGAATGGTATGTATTCCAATACACTGTTAGGATTTAAGATGAATTCACTTAAACAATCACTAAAACATTTTGATTGTCATCAGTAACATGTTTCCACTTTTGATTTTTGGGCTGTGAAGTAGAAATCTTTATGAAGTCTTGATATTAGAGGAATATTGTGTCAACATGGCTGTGTGCACTGAGAGTTGTTTTTCATAAGGAAGTCACTGTCGATACATATATTTTTTTGTCATACAGAGCACATTTTGTATATAGTGATGATTTGTTTGTTTTTTGTGAATGCAACTTTATTTTTGAAATTACTCAATTTTCAATAAAATGTTTGTTAAACATATTCACGTATCTGTTTGTGGAGTCATTATCACAACATACTGTTTCTATTTTACGCAATATGATGAAATAATATCTGGCATCTTACAAGGTCAGAGCCCTTGTGTGTGTCTGGGTGAGTGAGAGGCAGAAAAAAGCCAATGTCATTTTTTTCCTTATATCTATAAGAATTAAAACAAAGGATTTTCTTAAACAATCTTATTATCACTTTATTATTTCACTGTAAACCTCTGAGGAACACAAAGAGATAAACCTTGTGAAAATAAAAGCAAAATGTGATTCAATCAACTGCGACACTGATCAACGTGAGTCATTCTGATGGGAAACAAACGCAATCACTTCCTAGGATGATACAATAAAATAATACATGGTGCTGATTGATGAACAGACGTAATGAGTAAAACCATAAAAGGAGGCTTCTTTCGTTAACATTTAACATCCGGTGATACCTCCACCCATGTTGGTGTGTTTTTTTTAAACCTGAAACCAGTGACTGGACCTGATCATCCAGTAACGGCCCAATCAAAGGTTGGCCACTGGCAGATCGTTGTTTCAATTAGGAAGGCGGTGCCTCTTTACAAGCCTCTTTTACATTGAGGCTGATGTTCATCTCATCGAAACTGCTCCCTGTCCGCATACAGATAATGTGAAGAATCTGGTTGGGCAGGTAAGTCACTGATGGCACTGGTTTCAGGTCAGAGGGAAGGACATTCTGACTCCACCTTCAAGAGAGACATCCTTATAACCAAAGGAAGTGAGCCACAGACTTTATTCAACTTTACATCCTGAGCTGAGCTGACCTGCTTCCTGAAAACTACTACTCCTCTGCTTCTGTTCAAGTGACTCGAACAAGACCTCATCATGGTGTCAATGGGACGACAGATGCTGGGCTTCGCCCTGGCCATCATTGGCTTCCTGGGGACAATCATTGTATGTGCCCTGCCTATGTGGAAGGTCACGGCCTTCATTGGAGCCAACATTGTGACAGCGCAAGTCATTTGGGAAGGCTTGTGGATGAACTGTGTGATGCAGAGTACGGGCCAGATGCAGTGCAAGATTTATGATTCTCTGCTGGCTCTACCCCAGGACCTGCAGGCCGCCAGAGCTCTTGTGGTCATTGCCATCATCGTCGCTGCCTTTGGGATCATCTTGGGCATCGCTGGAGGCAAGTGCACCAACTTTGTGGAGGAGCCACGTGCCAAAGCTAAGGTGGCCATTGCTGCTGGAATCGTCTTCATTTGTGCTGGTGTTCTCATCCTCATCCCCGTCTGCTGGTCTGCCAACACCATTATCAGGGATTTCTACAACCCCATCATGACCAACGCCCAGAGGAGAGAGCTGGGAGCTGCACTCTACATCGGCTGGGGCACAGCTGCTCTTCTCATCCTGGGTGGTGCCCTCCTCTGCAGCTCCTGTCCACCCAAAGAGAGTCCAGAGTATCCAGTCAAGTACGCTGGTGCCAGGTCTGCAGTCTCCAGCCGAGCCTATGTCTAACAGGTCAATTCTTCTGAGAAAGACTAATTATTTACGTTTCTTGAGTAACCCTCCTTCGTTGTGACTTTCTGACAGCACCACAAGTTGTATCTCATTTTCTTTGAGTGAAACACAGTGAGAACTGGTTTTCTGAGGAATTCAGATTTCTTGGGTGGAGGCAAGAGAGAGTGTTTCTTGAGCAAAGAGAAACACAGCGCAAAAGATGTGGTATGAAACTGTTGTACTGGCAAGAAAATCTCCCATCAGCATGATGACTGGACTGAATGAGAGCTATACTATATAAAGCTATTTTCCTCTGAATGTAAATCTAAGCTGTGCTAGAAGGATGCTAATGATTAACAGGAGCTATGATGGAAGGACACTTGTACAGTACCCTTGATATGTTGTGAATTTACTGTAAAAAATATTTTACAAACATCTTTGTTCAAATGTTATATCAAAAGACTGTTTTTGTTTACTGAATTCACTGATTTGTAATAAAATATTTACTGAAATGATGTGTGCCTATTTTTTAAGTTTGTTCTTTGGTCTTTTTTTGCTGTTTACATTAACAATTTTGGTTCAAAGATGGCAGTCCAGAGCAATGAAATGAGCACAATAAAATAATATAGATCAGCGAGATTGTGAGTGAGCAGAGAGTCAGAGACATAAAACTAAATATTGTCTGTTAGAAATGTTTGTCAGACAGGTAATATATTTTAATATTTGCAAACTCAAATCAGCTCAAGAGCAGAGATGCGAGCATGACATATTTCAAATGTTGGTCTTGACAGCCTGAAAGCAAATCTTTCACCTTGATCTTATCTACAAGGCTGACTAATGCAGTGATGACCCAGCTTCTCCTGCTGGCTGACAGAAAGGTAACTGACGTGCACGTGTCCAACTGATTGCATTTATTTTTACTGTTTACGGGAAATAAAACTGTCATTGTTTTAAATTTAAATGGGTCAGAAACCAGAATGTATAATGAAGCAGGAGAGAGTGTAACAACAACATGTATTCAAAAGCATTCAGCAGTATGTTTGAAATCTTCATGCAGACAAACCGGTTGAACCGGTTTTCAAGAGTTGAGTGTCAGTCTAGTCTTTTTCACAGAACTGGCTACAGTGTGCTAGTTTCAACAACGTGTAAGAGCCGTGCCCACACACCACCAGCATTTAAACAATCTGAATTCAAACGTACTTGCTTTGACTTGGTTAAAGAAAAGATTAAAGATTAAATACATGATTGATAGCAGTGAAAATCAACGATTACAATGAGGTTTGAGGATTGACTGTTAATTTTAATGGATAAGACTGAAGTGTTCTGCATTTTTTTAATTGTCAACAAATCCCATTAAAAAAGGCTTAAAGCAACACTATCAATATTTTCTTACTTCCCTCCTCTGTCTCCTGGACTGAGGCCCAATCACATTGGTTTCTATTGTTCATCTTTAAATGTCCAGTATATTTTGATCTTAAAATGGCTAAATAATGTCCTTGCTGGGCACTGTAGCATTTAGCAAACATTATAAAAACATGAATAAATTCTGCGTTCATTGGGGACTATTTTCAGCTGTGCAGTTTTTATCCATTTGGTGCTCTAGTGATTGCTTAAACCAGCAGGCCAGTGTATAGAACAAATCACAGTGTTTGCTTACAGTAACTTTCAGGGGAAAAAAACCTTGTGTCACATATATAAAATTAAACTGCACTGAGCACCTGCTGCTCGGTTTTAAACCAACCCCACCAAAAAACAGTATCTGTTCAATATTTTCACCTCCTTCTGCCACACAGGCCTTTCCAACAGGGAAGTGAAGCCATAACCTCAGAGCCACCAAGACTACATTGGCAAAACCAGTAATTTTACTTTGCAGAACCAATGGAGTTGCTATGGAAGTCCTCAGCAAGCCATCACTCCTAGATGTGTCTTCGATTGCCCCTTGTACACATGAGGAAGCCAACAGTCGCATATTATTACATGTTGACCATGCAGCAAGAAATGGCCATCAGAAAATCATGATTCAAACGGTTGATTCTGATGTTGTGGTGCTGGCTGTGGCAGTGGCTCAAGCCCCTTTTACACTGCCAGATTTTCCGCGAATGTTGGGCCGTTTTGCCGGCAAGCTGCAAGCGTTTAGACACACAGAGCCGGATTGGCGAGTTGATCCGAGGTGCCCAACTTTCCACCTCGTAGGGTAGACATATTGGCGGAACCTTTTTTTGGTTTAAAAAGACCGAGGCGGCCTTCCACAACGAGCAGCTAGCAGCAAGAGGGAAACGCAAACCTGAAAGACACTGTAAAGATGAGCAACTGGGGAGACAAGGAATTGCACGCCCTCCTTGCCCTCGCAAATGAAGAGGCCATTAACTGTCAGATGACGGGGACGGTGAAGGACAGGCCAATTTATGAGAGAATTGCCGAAGGACTGACCAGCCGCGGCTTCCCTCGGGTACATCACTGTTTGATGTGTCACATGCTGAGCTACACGTTTTGTTACTTGTTCACGCCCCCCATTGCACTGAAAAAGGCGTATTCTGTATAAAGAAAAGTAGGTAGGCGGCATTTTGCTGCACTCCCCATTTTTGTTTTATACTGCCAAGTTGAAAAAAGACTGATTGGGCTTTCCTGCAAATTTGCACAATTCCAGTTTAAAAAGGGCATCAGACTTTACAGTCAGAACATGAGCTTTGATTCGCATATGGAAGCCCATGAACTTGCAGCAGGGCTAGGGCCTGAGTAAAAGCACATGGCACATCAATGTTCCATGCATTGACGGGCTGTGACACTGTATCAAGCTTTCTTGGCCTTGGGAAAAAGACTGCATGGGCTGTGTTTCCAGAGTTTACACATGCCCTGTTGAAACTCTTCTGCCCCAAATGACATACCACAGGAGGTAATGGCCACAATAGAGAGGTTCATTATACTGCCCTATGACCGAACCAGCACATGCACAGACATAGACATGGCAAGGCGAAAGTTATTTGCAAAGAGGCACAATGTGCAGTCACCCCCCTGGTCTATCCCTGCTTTGATCAGTTAGCGTGTAAAGTAAAGCAGCTAAAATATGTTTCGCTGTGGCCTCTGTCCAAAGCCACACAGTATGTAAAGTATGTAAAGTTTTATTTTATTTTTTTTATTTTTATGATTATTGTTGTTGCTCTATTATTATTATTATTATTATTATTATTATTATTATTATTATTATTATTATCATAAAATAACAACGGAAATAAACAAGTTTGCAAATTTGACATAGCTCCGCAATTCAAATCAATTGCCAGTTGTCTACCCAGAAATGATGGTTGCTGTTACCATTGTTGTTAGAGTGGCGTTGCAGGGATTTCTTCCACTCATTCAAAGTAATTCAGCCAATGAAGGCACCATTAATGTTTACATCATGCACTTTCACAAGCACGAGCCCGTTTTCCATGAGTAGATGCACGCTTCCTTCTGCACAGTGATATGGTTTGCAGGTAAACAGTAGAAAAAAAATAGGTAGTTACAAACAGTGTGTTTTGTCACCTCATTTAGTGGATTTGTCTTCAAACATAGGCACAGAATTCAGGGGACACATTTGTCTTAATATTTAGAACATGTGCCTTTGCCCCCCCACACTGAAAACATGATAGTAGCAGAGGACTTTTATTTTGACAAAAGTAAAGACAAACATAAATTGCCGAATAAAGTCACCAGAATGCAGGAAATTAAGTGTCGGATGCTACTGGGGGAGGACCCCCCTCCAACCCAGTGTCAAAACGAAATCTATGTCCTTGTCTATAAATACATGTCACTGTATGACATTCAGGAAATGACCTCTCTGATATTCCACAGACATCTAATCACAAACATAATGTCAACACAGCATGACAAGGTGTTTCACTGGTGTGAACACACCCTGCTGTGTTGTTACATTTTACCCGGTTTCACATTCCTGAGTCGTCCTCTGTCATTACAGAGAGAGAGAATCTACCTGAACCTGTTATGGGTTAATGATTGTGTGCCAAACTCACTGATGTCAGAGAAGACAATGGAACAAATCCATCATGGTCTGACAAAGCTTGATTGAAAAGTGGGTTTCAGTAAATGAATCATTGAATGTGAAAATTATTTTCCTACTTTCAATGTTTCTAAAATGTCTCAGTATGTTACACCTGATACACTTTATTTTTAGCCTTTTAAAATCTAGTTGTAAGCACTGAAGGATATATTTACATGAAAAATTCATACCATGTGGCACAAAATCAGGTACAGTACAGTGTGTAGGATTTAGAGGGATATATTGGCAGAAAAGGAATATGATATAAAAAGGATGATTTCTTTAGTGTACAATCACCTGGAAATAAGAGTCATTGTGTTTTTATCACCTTGGAATGAGCTGTTTATATCTACATAGTGATCAGGTTCTTGTCCACAGTGTCCAACATGTTGCACTGCAGTGTTTCTACAGTAGCCCGGAACGGACAAACCAAACACTGGCTCCAGATAGGGCCATTCACATGTTTGCATCAGCTACCATCATTAGCAGGTCCTCAGCAATGAGGGCGTTAAAAAAAAATACTGATTTTTTTTTTTAACATGAAACTGCTCTATGTAGTGTTTTTACCAGTTTTAATCACCTGGTCTGTTTGTTTTGGAGAGAAAGAGACTACAGGCTGTGCTTCCAGAGCTTACACTTGCCCTGTTGTCTTCTGCCCCAAATGACATGCCACAGGAGGTAATGGAAACAATAGAGAGGTTCATTATACTACTCTATGACTGAACCAGCACATGCACAGACATAGACATGGCAAGGCGGAAATTATTTGCAAAGATGCACAATGTGCAGTAAAGTCAAAAACCAAACAAACAAATAAAAACATTTCAATATTTTACTGTACCTGTATGGAGTAGAAAGAAATTAGAAACACTTCACAACGTGGATAGTAAAATATTTGTTTTAATGTGTAGGGTGCTGGCATGTATGAAACCTTAATGAACACTTAAAACCTTGCATGTCATTTTTTTCTTTTTCTCTTTTCCTCTTTGCCTGTTTTTCGTTGTATAAAACATTGATCAACATCCGCAATAAACTCAATAAACTATTTAAATATTTCCTATTTAAATCACGCTGACAGCGTTTGAGCCAACCATAAGAATGTGTGGGATTCGTTGGTTTCATTTATTGTTTGTCCTGTCCCGGTGCAAATGGCATTTTTTGACGTCCGTGTTCCAGCTGTGGAAAAATCAAACGTCCCAGTACAATAAATCAAACACACCCCAACCGCATGCGCAGTCACGTACTGCTGAGAGTGAAATCCCTGATCGTTAGCTCACATGCAGCTTGTTCAAGCTGTTCTCTGTGTTGTTGAAATTAAACAAAATAGCATGGAACATATCTGCTTATTATGCTACTGATTTTAATTGGGATATTTTTTGATGAAGTGAATGACATTTACGGAGTGTTGCACGTCTCTAATGCTGAGCTCATAGGAGACCACCGGACTCTCTCCCAAGGGGGGCTGGGGGAGAGAGGGAGATGTCTGGGCAGCAAGGCTCCGTGACCGTCCAGCATGGACACAAAACACAGCATGGACGGTTCAGAAGCAATTCGGAACGAGTTAAAAGCAATTAATAAACAAACAAAGTGATGTTTAAAACTGCATGTATTGCTAGCAGATCTATTTTCTGGCCTTAAGTGCAGCCGTGACTGGTTCTGAATGTGGGCTTTAGCAGGCAGCCGCTCTCTCCTCTTCCTGGTACTGCGTACCGCCACTGAATCTTTTAGTGGTACGCAGTACCGGACCATACCAGCTTACTTTCACCCCTGCCTGGTCCGTTTCTTTTGGAGAGGAAGAGACCTCTGCAGATTATGCAGTTCCCGGTAAAACCCTCCTGAACAATGAATGCTGAAAGAATTATAACCAGGAGAAGATTCAGCTGGTTGCAACTGGCAATCCTCACCACTAGATGTCACTAAATCCCCCTAAATCTTACACACTGTTCCTTTAAGTAGACAATAAAATTATACTAAATCTAAATCAAAATCTCAAACACATCTTCATCACCTTTTTAGAGGTGTTTTGAAATATGTCAAACAGACAGATGGCCTTGCAGTACTGCAGCAGCTAATAAAGACCCACATGAGCAAAGACAAAAGTTTATGGTGTGACATTTTGCTGCTGTGGCCACAACAGTGATCTGAGGACAATAGTTTCTACCTGGCGACAACTCTCCTAGAACCAGACAAGTCTCATAAAGCACTATATGTCAGGAGGTGATAAAAAAAATCTTGATTTTAATTAAACAATCTCAACATTGAGCTGATTTCTGTGGGTAGGTCTGTAGGTACTGTTCTTTCAATTTGGCCCCCAACAATGACGCATTGCCTCTCAAAGTTTGTTTCATTCACAACCAGCAGGGATTTATTTTCAGTGTACACACATAGATGCAGGTATGTATACATGTGGAGACAAATCTCTGTTTGCCTTGACACTGTGTTGTGAATGGCAGGTTGGATTTATTTAACTCTCACTGTTTGCAGACTCGTGGCCCTTGTGTCATTGATACTGCAAATGCTGTCTCTCTCACTCCTCATGCTCTCCACTCTGCAATCAAACTGCCGACATTTTCAAGTTGGTGCATTTTCTGTCACGTACATCCTTTTCTTTGTTGAGAGTACCAACAAAACCTTGTGTAACACGATCCTCATCTCCATCCAAGAAGAATGAGCGAAACCCCAACCTTTATTGTTCCTTCACACAAAGAATCCTGCACAGCTGGTATTCTTTGGCAGGGCCTCAAATGTGTCCTTAATAGTCTCTCACGCCTCCCATTCTTCACTCTGCTTCGGATGAACATAAACACCTGATCAGCTGTTAATATTCTCTCAGAGACACTCAGAGAGAGACGACGATGGCTTCCATGGCAATGCAGATGGCAGGATGCGTCCTGGCCCTTTTTGGCTGGATCGGGGTGCTCATTGTCTGTGGCACACCCATGTGGCGGGTCACTGCCTTCATTGGCAACAACATAGTGACATCCCAAGTCATGTGGGAGGGCATCTGGATGAGCTGCGTGGTCCAGAGTACGGGACAGATGCAGTGTAAGGTGTACGACTCCATGCTGGCTCTGAGCACTGACCTGCAGGGGGCCCGCGCTCTGGTGGTGGTTTCCATCGTCGTAGGCCTCGCGGGGATCCTCATAGCTTTCGCCGGTGGAAAGTGCACAAACTTCATACCAGAGGAGAGGGCCAAGGCGAGGGCTTCTGTGGCAGCAGGTGTGTTGCTGATCATCAGTGGAATCCTCTGCATCATCCCCGTTTCATGGACTGCCAGCATCATCATAAGGAATTTCTACAACCCTGTACTAGTGGACGCCCAGAAAAGAGAGCTCGGGGCCACTCTTTACATCGGCTGGGGGGCCGGGGCGCTGTTGGTCTTGGGAGGAGCGCTTCTGTGTGCCAGCTGTCCCCACAAAGAGGACGAGGCCCCCTCTGTGAAGTATCTCCTAAACCAGCCTGGAGGATACAGCAAAGATGACTCATACCGGTCTAACACCCCGACAAAGACATATATTTGAGAGTTCTAAAGGGACAAAGAGAAGTCTGGTGGATGTTTTTGTCTCCGAGAAGTGAAGGAAGCTTGGACTTTAATCAGATGCTGTGAAACATCAAGAAAAAGGACATACACCCACAATGAAGGAAATATGCACTTTGTCCTGTAAGAGCAACACACTGTTGTATAAATATGCTCTCTGTTTGAATATTGATGTTACTCTTGGTGATGAACATCTATGAGGTGATAGTTTATTAAATTATAGAAACTGTGTTTTACATGTTTGGAAAAGTGGTTAAAAAATCTTTTTGTAATTGCACTTTGCACCGTTTTGTCCTTTGATATTTGTGATTCTGTTTTTTTCACAATAAATGACCTTCTGTTGTAGGATTTGCTTCTGTCATGCCTCATGTTCACGTATATTTAAAAAATGCACAAAGGACCTACAAAACCTGTTTGTCAGGGACTTACCAAAGATCACTGCACAGGGAACGAAGATGGTGACTCAGAGACTTGTAATGCTGTTGACTGATCACTTTATTTAAAATCATGACCTGCTTTAATACGTTTCATACATCGCTGTCGTAAATACTTGGGGAGAAACTAGATTACAGTAATTAAAGATAACGCAAATGTGTCACAAAAGTTTTTCTCCTGAGGCTTTTAAATGATTAGGCTTTAAACTGATTTTGAAAGATGTTTTTGATTTGAAGTGTTGCTGTTTTAAGTTCACAGTCGCACCAACCTGATGGGGCTGTTCTCATGTTACTGTATCAGGCTGCTGATCAGAGAGAAGGGAGGGTCACATGACCCACAGGAAATGTCTGAAAGGCTTCAAATGCTCAAAATTTCCCCACTAAGTGTTCCTGCTCTCTCAGCAGTTTACTTTCACATTACTCACATAACATTCACAGTTGTTCGATTCAGTCTGGCTCAGATTTGGACGTCAGACATAAATCCCCTTTTATGATGAAATACCGTACATTTCCCTTTTTCCAGTTGAACAGCTCATTTAAAAAGAAGCAAAGATTAGACACTAATGTCCAGTGTTGGGGAATAACTGGCAACATGTAACGTAATTAAATTACAAATTAAATGTATTTGTAATCTGTTACAGTTACTGAGTAAAAAAATATGTTAAAAATTACAGTTACTAATCAGAATATTGGGGATCACAAGTGGGTTTCATCTGAATAGATTATTTTTTGGTAAAATGTTTTTACGTAAAAGATAAAATCATTCTGTTATTTTGTATCTTTTCAATGTGCAGGAATGTCGTCTTTTGCCATATTTTGCCAAGCAGGTCAGCAAAGCCACAAGGACAAACGAGTAACATTTATGCACTTTCAGGACTTCTCAACTTTATTGCCTCATTTAAAACATTTGGTAGAAGATTAATCAAAAAGTAATCAAATGTTATAATTTACATTACTTTGATGGAGTAATTTAAAGTTACGTCACTTCTTAGATATATAACAGGGTAACTTTCAATCTGTAACCTATTACATTTCAAAAGTAGCCTTTCAAACACTGTTAATTCATAATAAGATTTTTTATCAAAAAATGGGTGGAATAAATGCACAACTTTAACTGATAAAGCTGTCAGTAAAAGGTGTTTTTCCTGGTGTCAGACAGTACTCTATGTTTAACTTTGGTCATGAAACATTTTGACAAGTTAATGACAGATCTAAAATATGTAAGAGATCTGTAAAAAAAAAAAAAATCTAAAAGTGTGATAAAACTCTTGCAGATGAGGGTAATTCTGCAACACCACATAAACATTCAGTTTAAGGGAAAAATAGCTGATTACACCCAGCTATTTAAAATCACTTAAGTAGCATATTCAAATTCCAGGCCAGCATTTATCCTGTAACAGAAGGTAACCCTTTCTATAAATGCATTTTTCTCAAATTCAAAAACTGAATTTTAAGATGCATCTTATCAAATTTACATCCCAGACACTTCACTGGAATTTGTTGCCTCCAGTGATCAGCAGTGACCCAATTCCTTGTCATTCTGTCTGTCTTTTGTGACACACTGCTCCCTGGTGGCCATTTGCATCCATGGTTAGAAAATCCCTGCATTTTTGTTAGATGACATCAGTTTCAGGGAAGACGTCGTCATCTTTATGAGAAAAGCCTCTCTGCGGTTACATCTGATAACAGTGAACACAGTTTATCTGCATGGTGACACTTTGTATCTAATGTCTATCTATCTTAGCTTTTCTTTTCTATATTTACTTGGTTTAAATAATTCCTTGTTGGAGGATGAAATAAAAAGCCATACATGAACATTATGTTGATCTGATCCAGAGGAACACCTTTAGGTTCTATACTAATGAAAGAAACATATCACAAAGCAAAATACTGCACAACATAACATGTGATAAAGGGAGGTTACAGGTGTCCATTCTGAATAATAACTACATGTTTTTGTTGCTCTGCTCCCTCTGTGTTTCCCAGCAGGGTGTGAGTGACTCTGCACAGTGTCCCATGGCTGTGCAGGAGCTGGGCATCAGCCTGTCCATGATAGGTGTCGCCGGGACCATCCTGATCTGCGCTCTGCCCATGTGGAAGGTGACAGCATTCATCGGCACCCACCTGGTGGTCATGCAGGTGTTTTGGGAGGGTCTGTGGATGACCTGTGTCAGTGAGTACACAGGTCAGCTGCAGTGTAAGCTCTATGATGCCCTGCTGGACCTGTCACCAGACCTCCAGGCGGCCCGTGGTCTCATCTGCATCAGCCTGTTTCTGGGATGTTTGGGATTCCTCATCTTCCTCCTGGGAGCACGCTGCACCAACTGCCTGAGCCACCCGAGGATCAAAGCTCGGGTGGTGCTGAGCTCTGGGGCCATCTTCTGTTTGGCAGCCCTCACCACCATAGTTGCTGTTTCCTGGACAGCCAACTCCATCATCCATGACTTTCACAACCCACGCGTCCCCGAGGTGCTGAAGAGGGAGCTCGGAGCAGCCATATATATTGGCTTTGTGACATCTGGTCTGCTGTTCCTTGGAGGAGCCATTCTGTGCACAAGCTGCCCACCACAGAGGGCCAGGTTCCCCTCCACCGGGTACACACTGGCCAGGACACCCACACACAGCAGCTATGCCATCAAGAACTATGTGTGAAGTGAGGAGGGCTTAACATAAATATAAATGTACTGAACTGTGTGACATAATGCAGTTGGCAACATACAGATATTTACAGACTATATAAAGATATTGAAAACAAAGCATGTTTAAATATGTGAGGGGACTCTGATGTTGCAATTTATTCTAATATGTTGTGAATTTTCTCTCCTTAAAGGGTACCTTTGGTATTTTCCAACCTGGACCTTCATTTCCCATGTTTTGTGTCTAAGTGACCAGTAGGAACAACAATATTTGAAACTGGTCTCGTATTAAGCGATAGGGCTGCAGCCCGCAGCCATGAAACAGACTGCAATGTAAACACTCAGGGCAATTGAGCACCATCAATTTACATCCACTATAGGTGCTTGTTTTTGCCACTGACAGGCTCAGATTATTATTCTGAAAACATTATAGAAAGGATCCCCACAGAGACCTTTCTGTCAAAGAGTAAGATCCTTTTTATGTAACCTGTAAAAGCCTAGAAATCGGCATTGGCAAACCCACCAGACTCCATTTAAAAAAGCACAAATTTTAGCATATATAGAGCCGGCATATTTTCACATCGAACTGGGTTTATTTCACTTAAACCAGAGTTGGTGATTGTTGGAACAGTTGAGAGATGCACCAGGACAATTTTTGAAAGTTGTATTTAATTTCTGTCAGCTTCGAATGAAGTGTGTTTTATGATGATAGAATTACTGTTTGTTTAAATGTAGTCTGGTGGGTTAAACAAAATGGTCCTTTGTGTTGAAAATGCTCCTTCCTGTCCAGTCCTGATGGGCGGGACTCAACCTCAACCTATCAGGCCACACCTGAACTGATAAGAGGCCTGGATCAGAGGCCCGCCCAGCATCTCCTTTGATTTGCATACGGTGCTTTCCATGCTCTCCAGCCGACTGTGCACCTGATGCATTGTTTGAGTACGCTGAGGATATTGCGTTTAGTTATTGCTGTCTAAGTGTTTAATGGGGAATGAGTTCTGTGAATTTTTTCAGATTTGTTAAGAGTACCTTTGTTTATTGATTATTATTCATTTAACATTAAGCCATTAAATCATCTGTGTCAGTCATCTGTTTAAAGAGGAAATCCTATGAAAGAAAAATAAACTGTCGAATGGCTCTCATCTCTGGTCCTCATGCTTTAACTGGTGTGCCGCTGCAGAGGTCTGTAAAGAACCCAGCTACCCCAGGGACAAGTTTCTACACTTTTCATAATGTTAGACACAATTCGAGCCTGTAGGTGGCAAAAACAAGCACTTTTATTGGATGTAAATTGTCTGTGCACAAATGCCACGAGTGAAAGGGAAAATAGCATCCAGTTTAAAAAAATACTGATGTCTCTCTTTAAGACACTTTGTGTGACCATTATCAATACTTTAATTCTCTCCGCAGAGGTGTCAATACAAGACATATACAGAGTCAGTCTTTGGATGACATGAAACATGCAGTTGAATTTCCATTTCTCTATATATGGGGAATATATACGGATCAGCCACAACAATTAAACCACTGACAGGTGAAGTGCATATCTTTGATCTCCTCATTACAATGTAATGTTCTGCTGGGAAACCCTGGGTCTTGGTATTCAAGAGGATGCCGCTTGACATGCTCCACCCACCATAACACTGTTAAAGGGCCCCCCCATGTTAGCGGCGCCCCCAGCAGGACACCACACTATGTCAAATCACATAAATGGATGTGCAGAATGTGACAAAGAGCAAAAGGCATCGACGTAGCCTCCAAATTTCCCTGATCCCAATCCCATCCACCATCCATGGAACATGCCGTAACAAGTCCAATCAATGGAGGCCCCACCTCACAACCCACAGGACTCAAAGGATCCCCTGCCAATGCTCTGGTGCGAAACACCACAGGACACCCCCACAAGTCCTGTCTCCATGCATCAAGAGCCAAGTCCGATCCATGGTGGGGCCCCCTTGGATCAGACTTGTTCTGGCACATCCCAAAGATGCTCGCTCGATTTGGGTTCTGGGGAATTTGGTGATCAGCTCAACACCTTGAGTTCTTTGTCACATACCTCAGGCCATTCCTGAGCAGTTTTAGTGGTGTGGCATGGAATGCTGTCCATCTGCCAGTGCCATCAGGGGACATACTTGGTCTGCAACGGTGTTTAGGTGGGTGGAGTGTGTCAAGGGGCATCCACATGAATGCCAGGACCCAAGGTTTCCCATCAGTACATTACATTGTTACGAGATTATCAGTGTTATTGACTTCACCTGTCAGTGGTTTTAATGTTGTGGCTGATCAGTGTTTTTCACTGTATGCCTGATACCGCTATGGGACATCTTTTGCATGCAATCTGTCCAAATTAATGTGGTTTTCCTTGGTCTGATGAAGAATTCACAGAGAAAGCAAGAGATGTGATTTGTACCCTTGTAGATGAATCTGCATGCATTTTTAACCCCTAGAAAGTTAAACTGATCATGTTTAGGCCACCATTTTGAGTAAAATTATAAACAGAGCTTGTGTGCTTGTGAGTTACATCTTAGAATTCAAAATAAACACAGTGGAGTAAACACGTTCCAGTTGAATCAGTAATCTGCAGTGCAAAGTATTGCTTTTGAATGAGGTTAAATGAGGTGTCATTGTTCTCCTCCTGGTAGCTCCACTGCTACTGTCAGAACACAGATCACTGAGAACTTGTGCTCTTTAAATCAAATTCTGTCTGAGAAGCACGACACAGTGGCTGAATAATCAGAACACAGTGGAAGCTTTGTCTTTGCCTCTGCACAGAAACTGGGAGAAAGGGATAGTTTTGAAACCATGGCAGAGAAAACAGAGGGATTTCCCTCCTCCACCCAGCTGCAGCGAGGCCGTGCCTTCTTTTCATGAATACCAAAGAACTGGTTTCCCCTTTCTGAACTGACATGCAAACCAGACAGGCACACACACTCACACACACACCTACACAGAAGGTCTCTCCCTCACACATGCACACACACGTTTAGAAAAACACACACACCCCACCCTGCCGCCAGCTGTTTCTGGTTAGGCAGTCGGGCCTACAGTAAAGAGGAGGAGCAGGCAGGCCGTGGTCATGGAGCAGCAGCTGGAGCTCGCTGCCCTCGGTCTGGCCCTCACCGGGTGGCTTTGTGCCATTCTGACTCGCTGCCTGGCTCTGTGGACGGTGAGCGGCACCGTGGACAACACCACCGCTACTCTGCCAGCCTACTGGGATGGGGTGTGGTTGCAATGGGATCACTGGGACTTGGCCCAAGATGGCAGCCTGCACTGCTCCTTCTACCAGTCTCTCATGTCTCTGTCTGGAAGTTTTCGGACGTGGAGAGCCCTCATCATGGCGGCCATTGGAGCCGGGGCTTTTGCTGTGGTGATTGGAGCGGCGGGGTTAGTGTGGTTCCCCAAGCGTGGCCAGATCAAAGTGTTTTCTGGTGCTCTCTTTGTTTTGTCTGGAATCCTGCTGCTGGTTCCCACAGCCTGGACGTGCCATCACACCAGTCAGCCACTGGAGGGTGCTACACTGCTGAGGAGAGACTGGGGACCCGCACTATACCTCGGATGGATCTCCTTTGCTATGATGGTGATCGGAGGGGTGTTTCTCACCACCAGGTGCCCCACCACTGAGGGGCAGGTGCAGCCACCTGAGCAGAGCAGGTATCCAAACCTGGAGGAGGAGGCTAACCACCCACTGAGCCGGATCAACAGGGCTGCGTTCACAAGCAGCCAGTATGAACGCAGATCAGAGCCCATCTGAGGGAACTGTGGTGTAATATTTAACTGAGTGATTAAACTGGAAAATCAACATGTGAATAGGCTGTGGACAGATTTAACAGCAGAGGAAGAACTCTAGCTGCACATGTTGAGTAACGATGCACTGTAGTAGAAGCACAGCCATGTGTCATGTCTTAGTTTTATTAGCTGGGATGTGGGTAGGACTTTGAGTTTGCATCTTGTTTTGCATCCATTTCTATTAAAGTTAACACACAGTTTACACAGTTTAGTATCATTTTACATGCAGTCCTCATTTCTACATTTAAATACCACTGTAAAATTGTAGTTGTGTCTGTCTGCTCGACTCGAGGCAATTATTGGTACTAGCATTATGACATCACAGCCCTCTGATACTTTTAATTCATTGTAATGCCTTAAACATGAAAGTGTTAACACTGATGTTAAAACTTAACCCTGTACTGCACAGGTACATTGCCCTACATTAGAGTAATGCCTTTTCATATTTGTTTTTTTGACAGAGGCAAAAATGTTTACATGTGAGATGAACTCTTCTGCACAAAAGGACACTGTGGAATAAATTTCATTACAAATGAAATATTTGTTTACATGACTTATTTGAGTTTAAGGTCCAGTGTGTAAGATTTAGGGGGATTTAGTGGTATTTAGCAGTGAATTATCCACAGAGGTCTCTTCCTCACCAAAACAAACGGACCAGGTGATTAAAACTTGTGAAAACACTGAATAAAGCAGTTTCACGTTTAAAAAAAACAACAACAAAAAATATATATATATTTTTCCGACTTTTGTTGCGGAGGGGCTGCTGACTACGGTGGCTGACATGAAATATGAATAGCTCTATCTGGAGTCAGTGTTTGGTTTGTCCATTCTGGGCTTCTGTAGAAACATGGTGGTGCAACACAGCAGACTCCGTAGATGGGACCCACTCCCTCTGTAGACATAATCAGCTCATTGTAAGGTAACTAAAACACAGTGATTCCTATTTTCAGGTGGTTATACACTAAAGAAAACATTTTATTATATTCAGTTTCTTCTAATATATCCCTGTAAATCCTACACACTAAACCTGTAAAGGTCTGAACTGAATTTTCTCATTGTTGCCAAGCATGTAGGAGAACTAAGGTGTCAAACACAAAAACGCAAGGGGTCCATTTAAAGCCACAATTGTAAGTTTAATTAATTTTATTTTGTTTTAAATTCAGTTTAGTTTCAGCTGGTTCCCAGAGGGTTTGTTTATTTCACTTAAGTTGTTACTATTTAAAACTGTTTAGATTTAATGTAGTTTTTATTGGGTGCAGTATCAGTTTTAGTTTTATTATACAAGTGATTACACACTAATGAGAATATAGTTATGAATATGATAATCCACTTCTGCCAATATATCATCCTAATCCTACACACTGGACCCTTAAATTGGGCATTAGGTTGGGTTTAACTCGCTCTGCCACAGAGCACTTGAGGTGATATGGTTACACGATATGCCTGGAAACATGATTTCTGTTTTCTTTTAACTTTGAGGACTTTCTGATTTACAGACAATTCTACATCTTGATCTCTTTTAAAACGTGAGAAAAGTTTAGTCAAAATCCTAAAATAACTGAGTATCAAAACATTTCTTTTAGCGATGTGATTGTAACATATTTCTGCAATTATACCCCCAAGGACTTTATTTTGTGTTTTGACCACAATTTTACAAATAAAAATCCTTTAAAGTATTTCAAATCAAAACTTGTTGTTTGATATACTGCCCCAGTTCACTACATGTTTCTGTAAAAACAAAAGGAAATGTAAAAAAAACAAAAAATATTTCATTTGTTAAAAAAAAAAATGGATATAAATCATGGTACAATATTCAAGATAATATCTACAATGCATTCAGAAAGTCTTTAGATCCCTTCACTTTTGTCATATTTTGTTATGTTGCTGCCTGATGGTAAAAATCATTTAAATTCATTTTCCCCTCATTAATGTACAATCAGTTTCTGATAATGAAAAAGCAAAAAGAGAACTTTAGAAATTTCTGTATTTTCTTTTAAAAAGGAAAAATTGAACTATCACATGGACAGAAGTATCCAGACCCTTTACTCAGTACCTAATGAAAGCATCTTTGGCAGAAATTACAGCCTCAAGTCTTCTTTGTATGATGCAGCAGGCTTTAGCACGTTATACTCAGTTTTTCCTTTTCCATAGATTTTCAAATATTTCTAAAATCCTGTTTTCACTTTGAGTGTAGAGTTATGAGAGAAACAATGAATTAACCTGGTTTTAAAATAAGGCTGCAACTTAAAAATGTGGAAAAAAGTGAAGGGATCTGAATACTTTCTGAATGCACTGTGAATACTTCCATAATGTGCTCTGTGCTGCACCTCTTCATTTTCATTTTCAGGGGTACAACTGATGGGAATGTTTTATATATCACTGATATGGAGGTGATGCTTTTCTGTTCTTACAGCTGCAACACATTACTGCAAAAGTTCCACAAAACTGATTTGTTTCCAGATCAGTTTTGTGGAACTGGAACTGTGTGTGTATCAGGAAAGTTGCCGTGTATACACAAAAAAATAAAATATTTTGCTTAATATTTATTTGCAACAGAGCAAGGTCATTCATTATAACAAAATATAAGTTATTGGGTTAAAGTAATTATCCACTAAATGGAGATGCTGAGCTGGACTACATGGCACACAAAGTGCAGCTGGGAGACATTTGCACATTTCTCCCATGTGCACACAGTCTGATGGAAGGCAGAAAAGTTCGGTTAATGGTACAGAGGTGCTTAAAAATAAAACCTGAATAAATAAGTGAGTGCAGGCCAGGACTGTTTACCGACCTGCAGGTGTGGGTATAAATGCTCAAATTAATTTTCGAAAATCCATTCCACCCAGCATGTCTGGCAAAACGTTTTTTCAGTTTAACAACTCCTTTAAACACAGAGAGACTCAGGAACAGGAATGACTGAAATTAGAAGGAATCTCTTTAAAAATATAATCTCATAAATGAGTTTACAGTTTGTGTGCCGCAGTGAAGCATGTTAGTGTGGATAAGGTGCAGAGTCCTGACTCGCTGGGTTACTAGAATTTCTCGTCTCCCTCCTCCACATCCTTCAGACTGAGAACCTCCAGAGTGCCTTTCCCTTTAGTCTCACAGCGGATCAGCTCATCGATCTCCCTGAAGCAGCCGGGATCCACCAGACACACCTGAGGAGGAGGAAGAAGAAGGAGGCGGCACGGGAGAGAAATTAAGACATTGGTAAATGAAGACAGAATGGATCTTTCACAAAACAGAAGGCAGAGAGAGTCAAAGTGTGCACCAGCAAAAAACACAACTTTTAAATCTTTTCTCCTCACCATCTCCAGCTCCTCATCAAAGTCTTCACTCTCCACAACCTGCAGGAGCGGCTTCAGCTTCTCCTTCAGCCTCTTGGCCTCCTTGGCTGGCAGCACCAACCGCAGCCTCATGTGGGCTCTCTGGATCTCCATGGACTCCTTCAGTTGCCGAATCACTTCCAGAGCCTGGGGACAACAGTCCAGGATAAAGAGAAGAAAAAAAGTACATTTCCACACCTACTTTTTGAAAGCTATAAGAGCTGTCGCTATAAGAGACACAGACACGGTGAGCATTTTTAAATGACAGTTGAAAACCTATTTATTTAGTTTGGCTTTTAATTGTTATCATTCTTATTATTTCTTCTGTTCTTTTACTGTCTCTTATATATTTTTGATCATCTAATGTCTTTTTTTATTGTCTAATCTCATCATTCTTGCTATTGTGTTGCATCTATATTGTGAAGCACTTTGACTAACATCTCTTGTGATATAAGTTCTCTATAAATAAAGTTTATTATTATTATTAAATGATAAAATAAATCTTTGTGTGATGGCAGTTCAAATATATTCTAGGTCTGAGAGGAAGCTTTGTGTTGTCTATAATCATGAGGAAGCAAACAAAGTGTTATGTCACTCTCCTCACCTGCTGTTTGGTGCTCTTGTTGGCTTTGACAGAGTAGTGGATGTCTTTCATCGCCCGCTCAATCAGATTGACTGTATACGGCCTCTTGGTCTCAGGGTTGACACACTTCTCCACCACAATAGTTGCAATGTCCCTGAACATGGTCTCCAGCTGAGACTGCCTCTCCTTGTCTGACACTTGGAGCTCTCCTTTGGCCAGGATCTGTCCCAGAGAGAGAAATGAAAGGACGGGACGTGAAGGTGAATGATGATGACGCAGTGTGAATAAGAGGTGGGCAGGAAAATATTTCCTACCTGTTTACAGATTTCTGTCTGATCATCTGTCCCAAAAGCTTTGGTCAAGTCATCCTTCTTAGCCACCTGACCTTTGGACACATTGACGAAGACTGAGTTTGTCTGCAACACCTCATCCAGGTCTTTCTCTCTGAAAGACAACACCATGTTAGACAGTCACAGACGGACAGTGAGGCACCGAGGAGCTTTAATATGACAGTTATAGAGTGAAAACAGCAAATGTCAGCTAACTTTAAGAAAAAATAAATAAAATATTCTGGTAACTCTCTAGTCAAACACTGAAACTTTGCGGGTGTTGACAGTGAACGATACTCACGCTCCTGCTCTCCAGTTCATAACTTTATTCTTGTAACAGGCGATTTCAAAGCGCTTCCCTCCTTTCTTTATCCTCACCACCGCCACGTTAGTCAGACGGATTTGATTCGTTGGCGTAAATATAGACATTTTTATGTTTAATACGACAGAATTTTCTGTCCGAAGCAGCTGTCAACACGACGATTTTGCTAACTGCGCCGTTTGTGTTATCAGAGTCCGTTTCCGATAAGTGTCCGCTGTGAAACATCGACGTGAAAACAAAAGTTCCGCTCCCTGTGTTTTTCGTCAGACTATTTATTTATTTATTTATTTTTTTGGACATGTGATAATTAAAAAATAAAACATAATAACATCAATTGAAAGCGGTTATAAAACAAAATAATGACAAAATAATAGAATAATTTATACATTTCAGGAATAGTTCCTGTCATGTAATGTTAGTGTCACGTTATTAGCCACATTGCGTGTACAACTTTAGAAGGTCTTATTTTTAAAGTAAGTAAAAAGTAACAATAGGATTATGTTTAGTAATGCAACATTAGGGACATTATAGCTCTCTTAATTTGCATGTGTGTATTTATTTATTTATTTTACAAATTACAGTTTTATTTCTGCTTGTATTTTATTAGTTTATTGTATTTTATTTATCCCAGTAGGCCACTCCCTGTTTTGTAATTGTTTTGTATTGTGTTGTTTGGGGGATAAAAAAAAAGATGCCCCTAAAGTGGTCCTCCGAAACAGATTTAATATAGGCTATAGAATATTATTTCTTTAGAAAGATTAATTAATTTATTTAGTTAGTTAGCTAATTAGTTATTTTTCTTTTCTTTTTTTACTCTATATATTTCATTTTTTTCCCCACATAGAGTGACTAACATCTGTACAGTTCAATTCTCCTTTTCAAACAAATAAATCCTTCCTCCCATCTGGCAAAGCGACATGGATGTTGAAAGAGCCTTGTTACAATGATGATATTGTTGATCAGAAATTCAATGGATTTGTCCTTCGAAATTACTCTGAATGTTTTTAAAGATTCAGTAGTCAATATCTATGGATTTGGAGAGCAGCCAGTTGTGCACAGATTTTCTATAAGGTGTTCTGTGGTTTCTATATTGGTATTAATATGTGACAGTTGCCCACCTTTAATTTAAATCCTGCTCTGATCATTTCATTTGATGGATGCATATCATTACCATTTTAAAGTGTATTTCTTTATGTTTCGGAGGGATTAAGAATTTGAGAATTTTGTCCTAATATCATTTACTCTTTGTTGATGATTTTGTAGATAGACAGTCCTCCTTAAACCAGGATGCACAATATTTACTAGGTATTGTTTTAAAAAGTTAAAATTGCAGCTTTTGTGTAGAAAAAAAATCCAAGTAATCCTTTTTAAGTTATGTAATTTCAGTGTTGGTACGTTACTTTGAAGTACTCTTGCAATGGTTAGGCCCTGCTGTTTTTTAAAGTCATGATGTTACACACTCCGGTCAGTAGGTGGCGCTATGTATAATGTTAGTGTTGGTGGTTGAAGTTTGTGGAAGTAAAACCGAAGAAGAAAACGTTCCGTTTGTGCGTCGCTGTTTCCGGTCCGACCCTTTTCTCCCTCCGCTCCGGTGGCTTTTCTACTTTGCGGCCCACGTGCGGATTTAATTCGGTTTTTCGCCCTAAAGTTTGCTGTCAGAGTCTGGACCAAATGTCGGCGTCTTTCGAGCAGATGAGGGCGAACGTGGGGAAGCTCCTGCGAGGAATTGATAGGTATGAATGATCCTCTCAATTAAGTAACGTCCCGACGAACAAGCAAACTGTAGCTTAGCTTGTTGGCTAATGTTTGAAGCTAACTATTGCTGAGTTCAGAAGCAGAATCAATTTTAATGGCCCAATATATGAACACATAAAAGGATGTTTGCATTGCTCTCAATGAACTTACATATTAAAAATCATAACAGCTTAGAGCAAGGACAACACGGCTGAACACATAAAGGCAAAACACAGACAGGACCATGTACACAAGCGGCAAAACGTATTTCGGATTTTATGAAGCGATATTGAATCATTCAATTGAAGATCAATTTGAAAAGGTTGAATCAATTATGCCAACCCTACTTTATTAGATTAATTTAATAAATTACATACATAGTATACATTTAATACTCTCAACTAATATTATAAAGACAGTGACTAAAATAGTGAGTAGTGAATACTGTATTGAAATAAACGTATAAAATAATAACATACTATTTCAAAATATAATATATAATGAACACAAATATAAAAAATGTCTGTGCTGTATTATGCAATTATACTCTGAATGTTGCAAGAGCCAGTCCTCAATATGATATTGATTTAAACATGAGCAACTAAGTGGTTAAAGCACTGGAATCGTCCATTTTATTTTTTAATTTAATAGATTATAATATTGGATACAATATGTTGACTGCCAAACTGGTATTATCTCTGGTTTCATTTTAGAAATCTGGTCATCTTAAAATACTACCACTGACCTAATAAAATTAAAATAAGACATCTTTATAAAATTCAAGTAAGTTGTTAACTATACAATTACTGCAAAGAATTCAACACTGAATGAATAAGCATGGACTGGATGATTATGTGCATGTGTACACTGATCAGCCAAAACACTAAAACCTCTGACAGGTGAAGTGAAAAGTCTATAACATTGATCATGTTGGTACAATGTAATGTTGCACTGGGAAATCTTGGGTCCTGTCATTCATGTGGATGCCACCTGACACACACCACCCATCTTAACACTGATGTGACAAATGTTATCTGCTCAAGATTGATTATTCTCCTCCAAGACAAGACAGCACCTGATGTTCACATACAGTACAGAGGCTTGCTAACCTGGTTGATCTTTTCAATGAGCCTGTATTTAATAATGCAGTGATAAAAAGTTTTGTTAGTATTTCCAACTCATGAGTCTTGAAACAATATTAATGCCTTTGGTGGAATAGCATGGGCACAAATATGAGCACAAAAGAGAAAAGACAAGTGCAGAAAACATGTCGGACAGAGAAATTTCAGCATCAAATCACTTGCATGGTTATACATGGTACAATCACTGCCTTGAAGAACATTTAACCAAACATGCTGAATTATAAGGTGCTGAAAATATCTGACCTGCAGTGCAGCATATCTGTATCCACTACACAGAAATACTGATCGATCCATACTTGATTCATAGGTGATGCTCTTGACTCTCCTCACAGGTACAACCCAGAAAACCTTGCAACGTTGGAGCGCTACGTGGAGACACAAGCTAAAGATAATGCCTACGACCTGGAGGCCAACCTGGCTGTCCTGAAGCTGTAAGTTCCACCAGCCACCATTTAACATACATTCAGATAATTTCAGCTGACACAGGAAAGTTTGTTTAATCAGCTGATCTGGAGTCTCTCTTGAAAACACTGAGCCTTGTTTGCTAATATGTGTGTAGAAACGTTGTTACTGTGTGCATAAAAGAAGTGTGTGTACACAAACTCACCATCGGATTCATCACACATACACACCAGCCAATTTTGTTCTTACCACAGTGTTTGTGTTGGTGAATCAGTCATTCTAAATGACAGGTGCGTGCACGCTATGAGCAATCAGCATACTGCCACACGTCTACATTTCTCTATACAAGGAAATATATATCACCTAGAGGTCTATCAGGAAGAAAGCAGCGGAGTTGTTTCTATGCAAATATTTAGGCTCTGACGCACAAATGTTGGACGTCAGTGAGCATGTGAGTGTAATGGCAGTCAGAAACAGTTGATAAGCTGTTTGTCACTCTATTCAAACATGTTCAAGCATGCCGGTCTCTGATGCGCACTCACCTGAACATACAGTCTGCAATATCTAAGGTTAGATAGTCCATCTGAACAGCTGCTTGGAGGTAGATCATAATCTTTGATATTCTCTGCATGCCTGTTAATAGGCTACCAATGCACCAGTTGGCTACACACGAACAAATGTGCAATTTCTGTAAAATAAAAACTGTGTCACTCCATTTTCATAGTTGAATTTTGTAATTAATAATTGATGAGGATGAAAGGGTGTCAATGTCATAATTATTTAGTATATTTGACCAAATGCCTTAGTCGATTAAAATTTTTAAACTGTGTCCATTAAAGCTTTTTTTAATAATTCCGGTTTTGATATGCTATGCATTTAGTTAAAAGGTGTTTACATTTTCTGAGACAGCCATGCCGCCATCATATGTGCGTATATATGGTCTGAGGCAGCTCTAGATTTGCTCGCAGAGTAGGAGCAAAATCTGGTAAGAAAATATTGATGAATCCCATGCACAGTTAAAGCACAGATTTGTGCGTCTGCTCTGTTTGTGAATGAGGTCAAAGTAGCATGCATGGTCGGGGAAATCCTGTTGGCTGGGGGAATAATCAGTTTTCTACACCCTTTTCAGTGAGTTAGTATCTTTGTTGTTTTACCATCTGTAAGTATGTTTTAGTGGCTTTAAAAATAACAGTTGTGTTTTTATTTAGCTGTATAATCAAACTTGTTCTGTAGGTTTTCGGTGGTTCTTGTTCACTGTAGCAAGGATCAAAAGCCAAGTTATCCTAACATTTAACAGTCATGATACAAATGTTATATGTTAAAAAAAATCTCCACCTCTGCAGGTACCAGTTTAACCCAGCCTACTTCCAGACTCAGGTGACATCACAGATTCTGCTGAAGGCTCTGACCAACCTGCCACACACCGACTTCACTCTCTGCAAGTGTATGATCGACCAGACACACGTATCCTTTTGGTGCTGTTTCATCCATCCAATGTCATTTGATTGTTGTACCATTAGCTCCCATTCGCTAATATGTGCGAAGTTTACAGTCACAAGGACGATGTTTACATAAACAAAATATTCTGTTTTTTGCTCTTATTCCGAAAAATCCCCCAATACTAAGCTGTTTACTTGGCTTATGAAAATAATTATTACACAAATATTACTGTTTACATGCAGCCATGCATACTCTGATTAGTGTGCCTTAACATGTCGTTCATCACGTTAAAATAAGGAAAAGTTGAAAGGGTATAGCTGCTTTCGCCATTTTGCGTCTTTGCATCAGAATAGTTTATTTATTTATTTATTTTTCCCCCAGAGTTCTCCAGTCATGGCAAACACAGCCTCCTCCTTTCATTCCTCTGAACACCTTCTTGAAAATTTGGCATTGTGATATCTGCTCATATCCCAAAACCTGTTGATATCCATGT